CCTGCTGGACAGCAGCCCCAACTAGACACTGACTTATACATAAAGGTTCACCAGCCAAAAAAGTGGAGAACCACTGGGTTAAATTATACAAAGACCTGAGTATAATGCAATAAAATTCAACACCACCACAAACTATATCCTCCAGAAAGTTAAATGAATACCCCTCTATAACATTATAACCTTAATGACGGTAATTTGGATCCAATCTCACTGTGACCTTTAGACATGAACGAAGGCAGCCTACCCCTCTGCCAAAGATTAAACAGGATTGTACACGCCCCGTCTCAGCCTTGATAAGACCTCTAGCATATATTTCTTATCCAGGAGTGTTTCAGATGAGCAGTACGCAGTGGTAGAAAAAGTACTTTACTTAAATAAAAGAACAAAAGTGGCCCTTTACAGGCATATAATTATAAAATATGTTAATATGGATTGCTTAATAAGTAAGCAGAATTTTACTGCTGTAGCTGGTCAAAGCAACATAGTTAATAGGTAGGTAGTAGGGAGAAGTCAGTCCCCTCTGAATTGTATGTATTTTAAAGCCTATTGTGTGTTTTAAGTAACATATGAATCTAAAGAAGTGACTAGCAGTAAAGATGAATGCAGTGAGGTACAATATTATTCTACTTGTAGCAAAGTAGAATTGTAAAGCAGCAGAAAATGGTAAATATACATGTACCACTGGTTTCCACCTGTGGTAATAACCCCCCACCCTCTTCTTCAAGCCATGACTCCAGACATGTACGTGTGTCTGGAGCAGCCTTGGCCCGGGAAAAACTAAATCTTTGTCACTGAAAATATGTTGTAATTGAATAGAAACCGGTAGTTACTGGTGCAAACCAAAACATATAGTTAGATTGCTGTCACAGATTTAAACGAATACGGAAGTGTGCAATACATTAGCATAGCCCCCTGCTACTGCACTGGTCAGTTAAGTCAGTCTCTCAGCTTTCTTATGGGATTCTTCTTTCAGTTCATATGCTTTTTTTTTGTCAGTAAAACCTGAAATAAGACCCCAAAAACACCACACCACGGAGCAACACGTTACAGCTAGCTAACGTTAAATATCTGCAAACGTTTAACGTAAAGTTGTAGCCTCTCGTGACACAGCTCAGGATATCGCATGTGGAATTAATTCACATAATTATAAACACAGAAAGTGAAGTTTTACTCACATGTTGACTGCGGCTTACCGAGGGCAAACGCCGGTGACTGTCTAATTAGTTTATCCCGTAGTTCGTAAACACTTCTCGAGCAGTTGTAACGTTTACTCCCCAGTAAAGAGGACTTTGCTCTAACGTTCGCCTTTCCCGCACACACGCTCACATTTTCCGTTGCTACGCCAGCGTCACATGCGTCAATCCATAATTGGTAAAAATGACCATATATGGGATCTGTCAAAAAAACAACAAACGCCTTGTTTCAAATGGGCTTTTTATAGGCTTTAAAACAGCACCGCTTAGTGGTCCTTGACGAGAACAACAACTAACAGTGAATTAATAAAACAAAACAAAAAACTACTGTTGCTATTACTACTACTACTAATAATTAATTATTTAAAAAAAGAAGAAGAAGAAAAGAAACTGATATCCTGGCTATCCCTTTAAGTTATTTTTAATAGCTAAGAATATCTTACTGCTGGAAAAAGGTGACTCCAAAAATAGTCTACACACATTTCCAGTGATTCATTGCAACAAATTATTTTGACAGTACTCGCTGCTGAGACCTTCATCCACGCTTTCATCACATCCAGAATCGACTATTGCAATATTATCTTATTTGGTACATCTGCCAATATCCTAAATAAACTTCAGTACATCCAGAATTCTGTACTGAGACTGTACTAATCCATCCACCTTCAAATCACTGATCAAAACTGCGTTTGTTTGATTCATTGTTGAGTGTTGTAGATGTATCTATATTTTTTTAGTGTTTAGTTTTTATTACCTTTTTTAACTTATGTAAAGTGTCTTCAAGTTCCTAGAAAAGCGCTCCATAAATAAAATGTATTAACATTATTATTACTAGTAACTAAGCTCCATTGTTCATTCAAATATTTTGTGTTTCGTAAGGTTGATTTTCTCCAAAACAAGCAAGCAAACAAACAAATGAAGAAATCCTGGATGCTGCATGCACCTCATACTAAAAAAAAGTCAAATAAAACATCAGCTCACCCAGATGCATGCTGGTCCTAAAAACAAAACAATAAATACCCAAAACTAAATACACAAATAATAATATTAACAATTAAACGAAACAAATAATTAGCAAACGAAAATACTATCAAAATCTAAATAAAGCAAACATATAGACAAATCAAACGATACTTACTATTGATAAAACAGCAACTAAATACTAACAATTAAATAGCTGTATGGTGTTTCTTTATCATGCTTGTTCTTTTTTCCATGCTATTTTTAGAACTACTGTATCTCTTAACACCTCGTGTTGTATGTGTGTTGTTGCCCGGTTCAGCAGCCACTCAGTCTGTGAGCAATAGCTTTAAGTAGTGAGAGAAAACCTGAAAAACTGGACACCTGTCATTTGTGGAATGACAGTGATGGAATCCCATTGTCCTTGAGATCACATGACCACATTATGTGAAAGGGAAGATGTTTAAGCTTGAGCGCAGTTGACTGCTGTGCCTTTACGTCTCTTTTCTTGAGTGTAGAAAACTGTTATTGTTCACAGTGTGCCTGTTTGGTCCACAGCCTGACTATGAAAATTGTAATTTTTGTCATGTGTTTGTGCTTCCTTCCTCCAGTGCAGCCTGATGACATGGACAAAAGTAAGTATATTAAACTATTAAACACTATGATTCTACTTACTTGGTTTCCTCAGGCATCATAGCATTTGTAGTTTGGCATGTCTTGGTTTCTGTTGGATAGTTGCTGTAGCTTGCTGACTGTTTTCTTTCTTAACAGACGCCTACTGTGAGAGTTGTCTAACAGCTGCACAAGGTATGGTAGATAACTTTTCAGCTTGCCTCATGGAGCAACTCGCACTGAACTGTCACCTATGTGACACTTGTTTTGACTGAATGGTTTGTTTTGACTTTATATTTTCTTTAAGACATAGAAAGTAAATCAAAGCATAATGCATACTGCCCTCCAGAGATCGAGAAAGCCATGAAGGAAGCCCCGGCTGAGAGCAGACAGACAGTAGTTGAGAGCCTCATCAGTGGTGGTGTGTGTGTGAAGCTGCTGTCCTACAAACATGACCGTGTCTCTAAGGCCAAAATGACATCCTCCTGCATGCACTTGTTTGGTAAGATCAGGATAAAATGACAATGGATTTGCATATTTGTTACACTCTAATTAATGATTTGTTTTTAAATACCAATGCAGAGTCTCATCATGACCAGTTCCATGTAGCTTTGTTGAATAAAGAACCAAAGAATCTGGTTATAGTCCTGTGCTATGAGCAGTCCACAGCATGTGTAGGGGTGAAACGCCACTCTTTTGAGGTAGGCAATGGGTATAATTGTGAAACAGACACATTAATATCCATCTAATTAAACTAAATGTGTCTTTTGAAAGTAACATTGTTAAATTTTTACCACAGGATTCCAAAAAAAACACCTTTACAGAAAGTGCCATTGAAGCTCTTCTCCGGGACAACAAGGACAAAGTACGAATTGCTCAACCTACACATTCAGGTGTGAAATCAAAAGACGAATTGTGAAAACAGCAATACTATTTTGCTTCCTACTGAATGTGCGATGGCTTGTTGTCATGATTCTGTATTTTTTAAATGTCAATATAATAAAGACATCATTGAAAAACATTGCCCTGAACTGTACATTACCCCTGGTGTGGTGGGGCTCTCACATCAGTGAGAATTAAATAGGAGTCACAATAATAGCATTGTAGCACAATAATAGCTGTATTGTTTTCCTAAAAGATCATAAAAACTATAAATAACATTGATGTTTGGAATGGCAAATACCAACTTTTTACCGTGGAAATCTCCATCATCCCCGGTGGTCCCAGGATCGGTACATTGGACAGCAGAGAATCTTCTGAAAAGATCCACCTGAGCTGAACAGGAAAGCGGGGGAATCTTCTGGTCATCACAGCTATTGTTAGTTTAGCTTGGTAAAGTTTTCAGTCAAACATTCCTTCATTGTGATCCAGACATCTCTGCAAAACAAAATTACAAAGAATAAATATGGATTCAATATGCAGTGATCTTATAGTATACAACTCTCGGACAGCCCAAAAACATAAACAAATCACTGTGTGTTAATTAACTGAAACAGAGACATGAACATATAGTATATTCATACTGGAGTTGCAAATGAGAAAATATGATCATAGATATTAAAGTTGTTTTATAAAATAGATCAATGTGGTCTGTATTGTTACCTGCACAATGCTTAGATAATGATAATCCCAAAGCTGAAATACCACTAGTTCTCCAGGGCTCTAGATCCCTAGGGGCCACCAAGAACCAGGCTGGCCCTGAGGCTTTTTTGTTTTGTGGCAGTTATTGTGGTAATGTAATTAGTTGCAACATTGTTCGGGAATATTGAAATGTGCACTACTAAAGCATCAACTTTGCTGCTTTGTTACCTGGTATTTGGGCCTCTGTCTTGAAGAGTGGTCCTATATTTTTCATCTTATGATGTGAATACATGTAACAAAGGACTAAATCAGGTAACCACACAGCAGATAAACACCTATAACGAACAATGGGAGAACTATTTTTAATCTGTCTCAAATTAGGTGATTTCAGATGTGGAAGACACGGATCTCGTTCCATTTTGCTCAGTGCCACCCTTCCTCTGTTTTTTTAAATTATTATCATTACCTCTTTCCCGCCATGACTCGTCGCACCAGTTGAACAAAAACATTCTATAAAGCATTCTAGAATCCTCTACCTTCTCGGTCCGCGAATGAAGTTGCTGAGAACGGAATCTCCGGAGAAGGCGACGAGAGCAGTGGCGCGAGGACCGTGTTGGAACGTGGCCCACGTGCTGTTGCTAGGAGGCGCTGTTGGAGCCCGGAAGAGTTGAACGGCGGTGATGATGGGCAACCAGAGATTGAGAGGAGAAACATAAGGTTCATTTTTATAGCCGCACTTCGTTGTTTCAACGCGACATTCATGCGCGTGTATACACTCGCCGTTGAAGAAAGGACAGGAGATATCACTTTTTCTCCATTTTGAAGGTAAGAGAGGCGTAATGACCAATAGTCACCGGTGTAACGTTATTAACTGTCATTCTGCCTGAGCACATCTGTACTAAAACGTCTTTATGGCGTCAAAAGATGCCGGAAAATCGAGCATTTGGTAGATTATACCTTCAAAACCGCCGGTGTGAAGCTTGCCCTGGACACAAATAAGAAAAGCTTTCCCACCTCTACTGTGCTGTCACTGTAATGAATCAGTGTGCGTGTGGGGCGACTGAAGACCACCAGGGTACGGGCGGCGTCGTAAGGACCCCAGGTTGGATAAAACCTAACCGAGGGATGGCGATTTTAAAAAGAACAGCTCTACAGTGGAAACGAGTGAAAGCAGTTGAAATTCTGTTTTAATCCCATCCATACAACAGCTGTGCACTTTGGCTAACGCCCTCTGTTACACTACCTGTCTGTGAAGGGTCTGTACCATCCATTTGCTGACAGACATTTTTAGGAAGGATATTGATCAGACACACGATTCCCTGTCCATGAGACACGGAAATGGAGTTCAGTCAGCAGCAAGGTCTGATAGAAAGGAATGGTAGGAATGTGATGAGTGTGATAAAACCACTAAGGGCAGACAGAACCTCTTTTGTTGTAGGCTATTTGTCCTGCTCGTCCACTTATGGTCCCAGATGGTTTTTCCTCTAGTGATCCACACCCAGTGCAGTCATGTCACACTGACTCGTGGACGTCCATCTAATCCCACACTCTCCATTTAATTTAACAGCTGGGTGACGAGGCTACATGGTGTCTGTCTCCCATTCAGAGTGTGGATGTGTGGGTGTCCAGACATGGAAAGCTACGAGGAGTTTTGCCTGCGGAGTTTGGCCATACTGCAGGAGGAAGGGAAATTCAAGAGGACGACATGTGAGCCACTGTTGTCCCTGAAGGCTCGCTCTGGCATCCGCTTCCATGGAAGAGCTGTGCTTTTGCCTCTGGTAAGGAAGAAAAGGACATGAGGAATGATCCTAAGGAGATAACACAAAGTGTAGCTGATCTAATCAAAGTTTCTAAAGTTTTTTTTATCAAAAATAAACAGAAGCCCTAGCTAATGGATGTTTTTAAGGGGTTTGCAGTTGGCTTGATATCCAGAGCTAGTGATTTTGTTTGCTTTTTAATGACACAATGTTTGGTTGGTATCCCTAGAGAGTCTGTATAACTCTCACAGTCCCGCTGCGGCTGTGTGTTTGTATCTCTACATAGTAACAGAAAACATAGCGTATACTTATCAGTAACAGCAAAAATGAGAAGGATGTTTAAACATATTTCAGGCAGGAAAAAACACAGATGTGCACAGAGATACATAATCGCACAGTTTACATTCATTTAAAAGGTAATATTTAGGAAAAAACACATGTCTTTCTTTGAGACCTACAGTACATAACATATCTGAAACACGTGGGCTGACTAGTCCCAATTAGATCAGCAGTTGGCAAGGCTGTTTGATGTTAGTCAGGAGAATCCATCTGCAAGTGACTGCTGACAAAATGAGTTCTCAGGAATAGCCACATGATGTAGAGGCCAGTGCGAGGCTGAGGTTGTTGAGGATTTCTCTTCCACTCGAACAAAGGGGACGCAAACATATAGTGGAAGAAGAGTGATTGTGTTATTAGTAATAACTGAAATTAATTCACAAACAAGCCTCATGAAATGTATCTTGTGTATTGGCAACCTCGTCATAACGAGTTCTGGACTTTTCTTATTGTCTGTTTAAGCAGAAAGTTGTATAAAGTGTAGCCCAAGAGTAACATGTTTTTGAATCAGTGTTAAAAATGTTTCTTTTTCCAGCTGAGTGCAGAACAGCGAAGCGAGATGTGTGACCTCAAACAGAGGGCGGTCCAGCTGGAGGTGGACAGGCAGAACCGGCAGAGGAACAACCTTCTGGCCCGGGTTCAGGACATACTGGATCAGGTGAGTAACACACTGTAGTCCAGGCTGATGTTTTGTGAAATAAATGTGATATTGTGTAATCTTAGAAATGAAATAGCAGTCCATTCCCTAGAAAACAGATAATATGCTACATCCAAATGCTTATAAAAGTCACACAGCATCTTTTGATAAACATGTGTCAATCTAAAATCCTCAAGTATGCACAGATGTGAAATAGGTCTGTGTGTCAGTCCCACGATAGAGTACAAAAACTGAATTACAGTCTGTCCCAGAATCTCTTGTGACATTTGCAGACTTGAATACAGGTTGTCTGACTCAACACTGTCTCCGGTAGCCTGTGCTATTTTTCCTGATGTTGGCGCTTTTTCGTCAACTCAACTTTCAAAGCAATATCGTCCCCTTGCAAATCAGCTCTAGTTACGAAATTACATAGATTTATTTTTATTTTAATGTAATCTTCTGGAGAAAAGACATATAATACCCTCTGCTGGTAATTCTTCATTGTCACATTTGATTTTAGAAATTATTTGATGATTGGTCATCATTTCTTCCTATTTCTGCACAGACACAAAAAGTACCAAGTGAAGAGGTTGAAAAGCTGCCAGTTTCTAAACCTGCCACAGTCAGTGGCTACACCCTGGTCACTGACTCTCCTGGACTTCCCAGAGACCCTGGATTTGGGCTTCAGACAGATGACCAGTCTGCTACTCCATGCTCTGAGACCCCCATCCTCAATGGTTATAAGGCAGTGGAGGAAGTGATGGTGGAGAGGGCAGAGAAGAGTGAGGAGGAAGAGGAGGAAGAGGAGGACATGAGTTTGGACAGTCTTCTTAAGAGATCAAGGGAGTATGTGAAGAGAGAGCAGAGTGTGCAGGGATCAAAAGTTGTCCACACAGTCACCAGGACTCCCCCGCCTGAGACGGCCTCTGACAAGGAGAATAAGAGCTGCAGTCCCAAGGGGGACACAGGTGTTGAGTTTGGATTCAGTTTGCACCATAGCCCTATTGGCCCACCTCAGACCACAATCCAGCATCAAACTCTGTATGAGCCCACTCCTCAGCAGTCTGGCCGCCTCTCACCTGGTCTACCTGACCGGTATGCTCGTCTCCCCAGTCCAGAGTCCAGCATTAGTCCCCGTCCACAGAGACGCAGACCTCGCCCAGTTTCTACAGGGAACATTCACATTTCGTTTCCCATCGGCCCAGCAGACCTTATCCCACGAAGTCCAGGAAGGTCAGGGGAAGGTGCTGGAATGGCAGATTGGGGAGAAGCTCTCTCAGGGGCCACAAAGTCCTCCGATCCCTGGGGCTCAGTGGGGAGTGAAGGTGGGGCAGGTGTTCGAAATAGTGGCAGTCGTCGATCCAGCCACTGTGGTACCAGTCCAGTCCAGGAGACCTGTAGCCCTATTAGTGCCTCAAGGCCTAGCCTGAAGGGACACCATGAACATTTGGCTGCTGGATTTCGGCGGCGCTGCCACACCCTGGACAGCCAGCTGCATAGCTACCACTCTGGAGCTGAACACATAGACCGCAGCCAGGAAAGGGTTCCTCGCTTCATGGCCGGGGTCACATGGATGGCTCCAAGCTGGCGCACTCCTGCAGGCACCTTAAACCAGTCGTATGAGGTTGATAATCCTTCACCATCCCAGGTCATATTTAGGATGGAGCCTGATGACCCTCAGGGGATAAATGATGAAAGGATCACACCAACTGTCTTCAGAAATGCAGCTGAGGCACAGAGCAGCAAGACAGGTGAGTCTCTTTTGAACGCTTCCTGTAGTGCACACTGTATTCACTAAAATCTACAGTGTCATTTAAATTGTGTCGTACCCATTGAGATCATTGTTTATGTCTTTAGGTTAAATATTGTATAATAGAAAGGCAGGGAAAATGAAGTAAAATGTTAAAAACCTTTTCAAAAGTTAGAAAACAAGCACAAAAATGTGTGTGTTTTTTTTTGTGCATATCATCAGAGGAGACCCAGAGGCGAGCACAGGCTCTGGAGGACATGCAAAGGCGTCTGGAGGAGGAGCATGCCTTGCAGATGTCGCTGCTCCTGGCCGAGCAGGAGAAAGAGCAACAGCGCCTCCGTCTGGTCAGCACACGCAATCTATTCTTTTTTTTATGTTTAATTTATTTACAAATTGCTAAGAAAACCAACAACAAAATCTAGTCCATTTATTTATTTTTTTTGTTTAAGTGTGAATTTAATATTTTTTTTACTAAAGTGGGTGTCCGTGTGTTTTGCATGTGAACAGGAGCTCGAGGAGACAGAGAGAAGACTAAACGAGCAGGGCTGTGTGCGGGCTTTGAGTGGGGATGCTTCTGGGTGGACTTGTGACAGCTGTCTTGTTGTGAGCCCCTCCTGCCCAGGACTTAGCCCTGCCCACACACCATCTGATAGATCACCTGGACACAGTATAGGTAACACTTCACCATGCTCACTTATTGCTGTGTTGGAGTGTGTAAGTGTTAAGTTATTTACTACTGCACAGCATAGGAATATCTGAGTGACTCTTCATTAAACATTGAAACAAGATAAATTGTCGCCATCACTAAATTGAAAGTTTGTTTCTTCCTTCAGGTTTTTCCAGTCCTGTAAGTTCCAGTGTGTCCTCTCCCTCTGTCCAGACTCCCGTCTATCTGTGGGGGACAACACGTGTGGTTGGCAAACCTCGAGCCAGGCTGAGTCAGGTGAATATGCCCAAGTAGACACAGGGGTGTGTGTGACTATGTGTGTTTATAGGATGGATGGTATTCTAAAACCTTCTCTATATTTCCGTGTTCACATTACCATCCTATTTGTTGTTCTCCAGGTTCTGACAGCAGAGCAGCAGAGAGCGTTCTGTCGAATTGGCGCCATCATTCGTGGCTTCCTCACACGCAGACTGCTCAAAACAGAGAAGGTCAAACACCTGCGGCAGACCATTGTGGTGAGATTACTCTCTTACACGCACACACACACACACACACACACACACACACACAAAACACACAATAAAATCATGTACACCCAGTCGAAAACACTGATGTGAGAGTTATAACAGTTATTTATGAATGTGAGTGACTGGGGAAAAAACTGTATGGGTATGCTCTGTGTATATGTGTTCTTAGGACACACAGGAGTTCATACGGTCATTCCAGACTGAAGCTCCACAGAGGAGGGGCACCTACTCAGCACAAGATCGCTCCCTGCAGGAGAGAGTTAGAGCCCAGGTACGAATGTGTAATGACTGTTTATAGACAGCAGAGCTCCATATTTCTTTATGTTTTACATCTGCATATTTTGTCTCTCAGTTGCGCGCAGCCCTTTATGACATCTATGACATCTTCTTTGAAATGCCTTTGGGGGACCGCTTAGCATTGCTGCAGCAGGACAGGGAGCTCCGAGCAGAGAGGAAGCTACGAGACATGGTAACCTGAAAATACAGGCCAGCAATCAATCACATAGCCACATTTATTGACAAGAAGGTGCTGCTCTTTTTTAAAGGAAGACCTGAAAGGAAAGTTCCAACCACTCTTCCACTCTTTTGTTTCTTAATATGAACTTGGAAACTAGTTTGGGTTTGTGCTCACACTTGATGAGCACTAATGTAAGTTTCATGTTTTTTTTTTGAGGGGGGGTTATATCTTGGCTTGCCAACCATGCAGGCCAATTTGTGTAATGCTTACCAAGAAATAATTCAAAACATTCATGTTTTTTTCTGCCTGCATAGCTTCATATGTTAATATTAAGATATAATATTTTAATTGGTAAACCTGCTGATAATTGGTGGCACAAATAAATCATAATCAATCATCTGTATTTATATTTAGCACCTTAATTACCAAATGTACAAAGTGACAACACTGTTTTGTGGCTGCTTTATAACATGTTATTTCTTATGCTGTCAATGTCAGTGCTTCCATCATAAACTATGTTCTTTACTGACTTGTGTCAAACCTGCAGGAGAAAGCCAAGTGTCCCAAGGAGAGAGTGGTTCTCTCTGCTGCCACACAGAGGTCTCTGGACAGGAAAAAGAGGTAAGGAAAAGAGGAACACAGCCTTACTGGTGAGATGTTAATGTTTTCAACATGTAGATCTAGTCAGTGTTATCTTATTGTATCTATTTGTTACTCCCTCAGGGTTGGCGAATCCCCAGCACAGGCTAGGAAGATGCAGCAGAAGCCAAAGAGCCCCACTACCAGCAGGTGCCAAACACAGCAATGGGGATTTGTTATTAGATTTGTTGTGATTTATATTGTCTGGTTTCATGATTTATGCTGTATACTTTCTAGTTTTTATTGTCCCCAGAAAATGTCAACATACATTTGTTTATCCTTCCCCAGAGTCCTGAAGCCAAGCCAAGGCCAAAATTCTCCTGTCTCAGGCCAGCTGAACCGCCAGGGGTGAGTTTATACCTCTACTTGTTTGACCACCCTTAAATGTTGTCCCCTTATCTTACAAGCAAAGTGCCTTATCTTGCTATTATAAAACAAATTGTAATAAACTGTAATGTGTCAGCTTTAAACGATATCTTTAAAGTCATTACAGTGGCTGTTTCCTCTCAGGAGCTGGTACAGAAGAACCCCAGAGGAGAGAGTGAGACGCTCAGACAGCCTGAAGAAGCAGCACTCTTTGGGTTAACATGTGACTCAACATCCCCTGACGTGTGAACTTGAATTTTTAGACTTTGAATACAAACCTTACACCACTGAAACTCCAGTCAGTCGCTGCTAATAATAGGATTGTCTTTAATTTACCTTCTTAAATTCAAATGATTGTATTCACTACCACACTTAAGCTATTTGATATACACCATCACAAGACCACTGTTTTTTGACTGTTGTAGCTTGCTAAAATTGTTTTTTAGTAGCAACTACTGAGTGTTACACACAAAACTCACATGTAGCTTGATGTGGAGTATTTAATGACTAGGTAGGTACAATTAAATTTTAAAGTATCTGTACTTAAATGCAAACTAGAAGAAGGTCAGAGATAAGGGAAATAAGTTTTAAAAAAAAGTTATCTGTGCCTACTGAACTATGCCTTTGCTATCTGTAGTATTTTAGCATGCATATACTTATCATTTGTGTTAAACATCTCGTGTTTATAGCTGTGAGCGACTTTACAAACATCTGTTCTGACAGTCACATAATGTAGTTGCCATAAAAGTAGAGTATTTAAGTGTGTATAATTCATTAAGCTTTTTTGTTCAAGGGCTTTGAGTACCTGCTTGTGCTTTATTTCTTTGTTAAAGGTCTAGTGTGTAACATTTAGGAGGATATATTGGCAGGAGTTGAATATAATAGGCATAACTACTTCATTAATGTATAATCACTTGAAAATCAGAATTGTTATTTTTTTGTTACCTTCGAATGAGCCATTTTTATCTACAGATGTCTCGGGTTGCCTCCATGGTTTCATTCAGTAGCCCAGAACTGACAAACCAAACACTAGCTCTAGATAGGGGCATTTTGCATTTTCTGCGTGTTTTGTAGACGCCGTAGTTTCTTGGAGGGGGAGGTAAGAGGGAGCGAGGGAGTTGCAATATCCACCTCACCGTTAGATGCCACTAAATCCTGCACACTGGTCCTTTAAATGGTGCCAAGTTTACGCTGCTTTGAGATATTTCAGTATGTTCCAACATTTGGAGTAAATCAATGCCAAATGGAAAAAAAATCTAAATGTGTTTGTTTACTGACAACACTACGCTACACTGGCGAGCAGCTACATTAATGTAGCTTCACGTAACAGGAAATGCACAGCAGACACTCAGCACGCTGTTTCCTCTACTGAGTAAAACTAAATTATTGAGACCATATACAATGCATGTCAAAATATTTCCCTTATTTCCCACTGTCTGTGTTAAGAATAAGGGTCAGAATCTAAATAAAATAATATTTATGTGAACATCTTATCTAATCCTGTGTTAGTGTTAATGAATTGGCACACCCACTTGTTCACTGCGATACCACAGTGACTTTATACTTCTGCATCAGTAGTATTCAGTGTGTTGATGTTGTTTGCTGACATTTTTTTTATTTAAAATACCAAATTGTCATGTTTTCTATGACCAGAATAAACTTTGAAATGATTTGAATTTCCTGGACTCTGATTTGTGATGAAATGATAAAATTAATTTTCAATTAATCCTGCGGGGGGGGGGTTGTCCTGTATAAAAAAAGGCAACACAACTGTATCATTACAGTAGGAGAATATTTAATTGTATTAATATTTTCTGATTAATTGTTTTTTCCTCTTCTGGGTCAAGTCAATTCACCCCTCTGGGTACTCTCTTTTACGGATGTCCCCACCCTGCACTGACAGAGATCACATGGTTTCATGAGTCTGTTCCATAATTGAGACCAGAGTGCTGCCAGAGATATAAATGTATCTGTAAGAAGGCTTGTTATGGTTGAGTAATGACAGTAATGACTTGGATTTTTCTATGTTGAAATCAGCACTTAAAAAAATCTGCAAGCTTTGCATTTTAGTGTTGCAATCATACGTATATATGAGGAAGCTTTAGTTTCATTGTTTTTTTGTTTTTTCTCCAGTAAAACTGTTTGTCGTGTATCTTGAAAATGTTCCTAAAGTACATTTACCCCTGTACTGTAGAGCTACTAGTATTTTACTTAAGTATTTCCATTTTAGGATACTTTATACTTCTACTCCACTGCATTTATTATATAATAATAATAACAACAACAACAATTATAATAATACATTTTATTTAGTGGCACCTTTCATGGCACTCATGGTCACCTAACACCATATAAAACAACATGTAATCAATGCAATGTAATACAACAACATTACATCAATAAATCATAAAATAAACAACACGGCAACGATATGTTAAAAGATCAGCAATAAGTTACACATTTTATAATAATAAGATGCAATTAATATAATTAAAATAAGGAGGTTAGATTTAAAAAGATGAGTTTTAAGAGCAGTTTTAATATGGATTCCAGTATACGGATGGAGGGAGGGAGGGAGTTGATGGATGGCAGTGCCAGTAGACCTGCTGATGAAGACTGTGAGGAGGGAGTGTCAGTGTGAAGGAGGTCTGTGAGATAAGCAGCGGAAAGGTTGTCAAGTGTTTTAAAGCTTAATACTAAGATTTTAACTATGTTGTTTTCTGACTGGTAGTACTGTATCTGTACAAAATGTGTCCTGTCTGCAAGGTAAGGTAAGACCACTGATGCACAGTGCCCCCAACTCCAATACTAGCCAGATGAAGTCCGCGGTGAAGTCAAGAAGGCTGAATCTTTAGTATTATAAGTATTGTCAGTGTTATCAAAAGAAACATTAAAATCCCCCATTAGGATGATATTAGGAGACATTAAGGGTGGTTAAAATTGTTCAGTTAGGAGATGAAAATATTCAATGGTTTAGTTTGGTCTTTACAGAACAGCAATGATGGTGGGTTTGGGTCCACAGAAGTATGGAGAGCAGTGTTACGTTAATACTCTATTTCCATGTCTTCTTTGCATTTAAGTGTTGCCATCATATATATGAGGATGCTTTATATTCTCGTTTTTTTCCAGTAAAGCCATTTGTATGTTAAAATTGTCCCTATCATGTGTACATATTATTTATAAGTTGCTGGTGCACAGTATATATAATAGCTTACTCATTAATGTACACACCCAAACAGACACTCACATTCTTCTGATTTGACCACATTCATATAGGAATTCAACATGTAAGTGTTGTAATCACACGATGGGAAATCTTTTTTGGGGTGTATGTGAGAGGGAGTTACACTAATAAAATATCCAAATGTACAAAACTAGCAAAATGAATCAAATTCAGTATTATACAAAGAAAACATATATCCCCTGATTGTAGGCATTATTTTAACTCCTCGCTTTCTCCTCTGTGTCTCAAATGTAAAACTGAAATAAATTACCCTAGAAAAAATATATTATTACAATGGACCAGTGATAAGGGCCCTTCTGTTAATGTGATGCATACAGTGGCACAAAACAAAACCTTTTAAACTGGCTGCATGAGCAATAATGAGACTGAAACACTTGTGATACTTTATAATAGTTTTGTCCAATAATACATTTTCAAATAAATAACTTAAATCTACAAATATTTTCCACCATTTATATGTACATACACACACACACACACACACATATATTTACATATATAGTATATATATAGTTCAGTTGTTTTTTCATTGAAAAGATGTCATCTTCTTTCTATCTCTCTTGCCGATATCAGTACCTCCTGCTTGGTCTTGGGACCTCCACAGTTCCCCTAAACTGCCATTAGGTATTTCACGATACCAGTTAAGTAGTTAATACCAATACCAGTGAAATTCCACGATTCTAGATACCAATTCAATATGATGGCAACGATGTCCCATTTAACTTTTTTGCCCCTCATCCACATTTAATATCTGCTGAAGTCCTGATCCAATACTTGTATTTTCCTTAATAATACAGGTGAATGAATGCAACCAAGCTGTTTCTTAATGTTTTTTATACTTAATATATATATAAATATATATTTACAATATATTTATTGGATTTTCTTATTTTTCCAAAATAATAACAAACATGTGCAACAGTTACATAAACAAAAAAAAACAACCCAAAATTGCTCACTAAGTAAAAGAAAAAAAGATTGGAGAGAGGGCTCTCTCAAACATTTGAGAAAGAACCAAGGAAAACTTAAAAACTGATCCAAGTTTATCTTCAAGTTCAAAGTACAATAGTTACACACACACACACACACACACACACACACACACACAGCAGCAGAAAATGGCGGTAAGGTAGCAGGCTGGACTAATCAAACGCTGAGCTGAAACTCACTATAACGCTTAAAGAAGAAGAAATAGAAGAAATAATATGAAACCTTTCAGTCTGACAGTGACATGAGAATGTGATCACATACACTTGTTTATATATTGAGCTGGATACACACCAACACACAATTTTTTTCTTCTATGCTTTTTTCTTACTGTGAACACCAGAGGGCAGTAGAAGTCAATGTTTAATTGAACAAATGTTTTGATGTATCTACACAGTATGCATGTAACATTTTAACATGAACAATTTAGTGATTAGAGACATATGGTAATGTTCAGAGAGATTAGAGTGTCATTGACTGTAAGAATAACTGAACTCACTCTATTTTTACCCCTTTTGATTGATATAAAACGGGCAGTTATGATCATTTGTACACTGTAAGGACAATGATAATAAAATGTTTATTTTTGTTTGTTTTGAGCAGATACAAGATCAAGATCTTACTAGTCTTGAATGAGGGAGAGCTACAAAGATCAGAGGTAAAGAGAAACATAGGTGATATTTGTATTGGCATATGTGTTGGCATTCATGTAAAATGAATGTGTTTAACATAGTTTACATTATCCATGTATATTTGATAATTTTATTATCCAGTACAAAGTGCTCTGACCCCATTGTTTCCAACACTGATGCAGGGATGTGAGGTGGGAAGCTATACAGTACCTTTGTAAATGTTAAATGCATAAATGTACTATATCTAACTCCATATCTTAAATAGTTGCATTGTTCTCCCCTAAAATCAGTACTCAGCCTAAAACAAAAGAGGCATTGGAAATCTGTTGCCATTAAATTGTTTCCCTAAATGGGTCTGAACAATGAATACATTTCATCAAAAAATGTTTGGTTGTGTAAGCTTTCCACTCACTAGTTTTTGATCATAAGTATAACCCTAACAAGTGCACGTGTACAGCTGTACACACTGATGTTTCTTAAGGCTTGTGGTAAGGTAAGTTAGACATACTGCATGCAGTTACAGCCAAGTCTCGAGCCCCAAGCGCTTTAACCCTGCAGTGACTTTAATATCTCTCGTATGTGTTTGGTACAGGCACAAGGTAACCATCCACGTACATACATTTACAGCTGATATCCTCTAAGAAGAAAGCTTTAGGTTGATCTGTCTTTTGAACTCTTTCAAAGATGGTCTTTGATGTATAAGGAGGTATTTTGCTGAACAGTGTATCAGGTTTGATGTCATACAGGTGGACCACAATGATTGGACTAGCCTGGCACAAACAGTTGGATGTGCAAACACAGTTTTCTTTAAAAAGTAAAATCAACTGTATTTCTCCACAGCAGCCATTCTTGAGTTGAATAACGCAGTCGGACTCTTTAGAGTTTGTAGAGTGATAAACAGTGTGTCCATGAGAGAAGCTGTCATAAGCTTCTGCTGATTTGACAAGAACTGGTCGATTTAAGAGCTCTTGTATTGCTAGTTTTGTGGATCCTGTGAGATCCAGATAGCATGAGTTTCCAAGGGGTTTGTCAGAGCCATCTGTGAGCTTGGCTAACAACTCATCAAAATCTGATTGGTGGTTAAAAACCAAAGAACTAAGGTGTCTGGGTAAGTGCTGCCAAATGAGAAACCTCTGGTAAATTGTTTGAGGGTTGTCTTTCATGCCTTTAAGCAGAGTCCTTAAACTTCCGCTGTTTCTCTCAAAACTGAATGCTGATGTTGCCCAGAGAGGCCCCCAGTTCTGTACACTCTCAGTTAAGTGGATCAACTGATGGCAGTTGAAAGACACATTTTCTTCACCATAAAGTTCTTTCATTTCTTCTACAAACTGTACCAAGGACTTATGGGCCAACTGAAGGTCGTGTTGGGAGATTGATTCTTGTAGCAGAATGTGGACACTAAATGAAAAGTAAAAATAATGTTGCAGAAATGGAGGATACAGGATACCTGGCAGGACGCTAACAGCATAAAATAAAAGGAATGCTCGCCACTCCGATGCTTTCCAGACTTCCCAACACTTTAGTGATCGTGGAGATCTAGTTATTTCTGATGGCGGCCTTAGACGGAGAAGACGCAAGTCCATTTGTGAAACCTGTTCACCTATATACCAAGGTTTCATAGAGTTGACTGGGTCCAACCACAGAGACATAAGTTGTTTGGACACACCAAGCAGAACTGAGTGCATGTAATCGGGTACAAATCCAAAAACAATGTCAAAGAAGGGAAGAATGGAAAGCAAGGACAATCCTTTTACTCCATTTACTGTTTGGTACATTTTCGTTTGTTTCTGTTTGTTGTTTTCAGCCTGCGCTGCGTCATCGTTAAACATTTTTTTTGACCTTGCGGATTGTTTCTGTTCATCAAACGGGTAGGACCTCATGGATCCGCTGCCTTTTTTGACCATCACGCCAGGGTGTAAGCACCAGTCACAACCATATTCACCATTGAATTGTTTGCAGTTCCGAAGGAGTGGCCTCGCCACGGCATCAGAAGAGCAAACCAAGGAGAAGACTTTTGAGGAGTGAACTGTGCCATTGCTGTCTGTCCACTGAAAGGGATTTTGGGCTAAATCACGACATTCATCTATGAAAGGCTTTAGAAACGTGTTCATCTTAGGTTTTTCTGGGCCAAACCAAAGTCCTGCAACTATGACATTTTCCCTTCTTTGTGTGTAAGGAAGTTCATTAATAGTAAACTGAAGGGGCCAAATTGAGTTTATGGCTGAGTTATAAATTGGTACTTCATCACAATTCCATAACAGCGTAAGGTCATTTTTAGCCAGTATTCCCCGTTCAAGCAGCTCCTGGTACATCTTACCATCCATCACATCTTTAATGTCAGCCCCATGGTTGACTGTTTTAGGTAACAACTCAGTGCCATGATTCCTAAGGATCTCTCTCAGAAGGTCTTTTAGTGATGCAGACAAAAAGAAGTGTCCACTTTTGGTACTGCTTTTTTTGTCAAACATTGTGCCACAGTCCAAACAAGAAGTATCACTGGGATTTTTTCCCATGTGTTTTTGGCAGTTATGACAGTAGAACACAGTAGCCAAGGTGGAAATCTTATCAGAGAGATACTTAGATGCAACAAACATATTAGGGCTGAGAAAATTCAACAGAGCCATTAATTCACCCACAGCCGTAGTTAGATGGTGACGCAGAATGAAGAGTATGACAGCAAGCAGGCCTGTACTCAAGTTACTGTTGGATGTTGGCTCCTCCCTCTGCAGAGACATGAGAAATATTTTTATATGCAAAACACAAATCATTTGAATGATCTGGAGATCGTATTACAGACAGACGTGAACATTATTATATCATTCATTGTTCCCTGATCATTATCTGAGATAATGATATCCTGCTAAAAACAGGGCTCAAAAAGAATACTAATATCTGTAGCTGATATCAGAACAGCACATTTGACATTCGACATATTCATTTTCAAATATGCCTTCATGTATGTCCATTTTCACACACAAGTATTTATAAAGTTCACAGAAAAACAGAAGCTAATCATTATTTTAAATATTACTGGGGTAAAATATACACACATAAGGGTTCCAGATGGGATTAAAATCACTGATCAGTGCAGGCAATGTCAACCCATCACCCTTAGAGAAATGAATCTAGTCTCAATGGGGCTATATAGTATAACTTCTTACTATGTCGCTGTCACGATCTGCATCAGGCGTTGAAGTGAACTCAAAGTGCCATGGAAAAATAGTTGAGTCCTGCAAATGAGAACATTTAATCAAACCTGCAGCCTGCACTATATTAGATTAGATTAAATTTTATTGTCATTGCACAAGAGTAAAAGTACTATGTACAAAATGATGATGTGCAAACATAATGCCATAATATCTGACTGGATAAGTCCTTCATATTGACTTTGCACATGCTGAATCTGTCTGTATCTGCTTAAAATCTGAAGTCCTATTAGTTACTCAGAGGAAAAGTTTGACATTTTGGAAAGTATTCTCATTTACTTTCTTGTAAAGAATGAAATGAGAAAATTTATACCACCCTGATACAAAAATTATTTGTGATTCAGGCAAGATTTCAGCTGGCTTTGCTCTAGAGAACAACATGAAACTGACATGAGAGTAGTATCTTTTCATCCAACAAGAAAGCTAATAAATATATGTTATATCTCAGAATGCATTCATTTAAGTGTGATTTCATTCAGATTGCATGTGTGATCACAGAACTGACCATTTCAGGGTCGTCATCTTGGTCTGAATTTGTGTCAGTTTCAGTGTCCATCATCGTTTCAGGAGTTTCAGTGTGTCTTCCTTTCAGGGCCTGCAGTGGGGACACATGCTTACATTTAAGATTTAAGCTTTCATGAGCACACACTGACACAAGTGTGATCCACTGCCTTAACACTTTTTACACTTAAGGGTCTGTGAAGTTGTTCTTTGTTTTAGCAATATTTTTTCTTGGCTCTCCCATATATGATCCTAATTTCTTTAGGCATGTTTATAAAATACTTGGTTGTTCTACGTGCCATTAGTGTGGCGGGTGAGTGACAGCTGTTATTTCATTAAAAAAAGTAAGAAAGACAGAGTTGGGTTTTCTGCAGACATATCGTTATGCATAAGGGATATAAGATAATTTTGCTGTATCTTGCCTATGACAGGTAAAATGTGAGTTCTTGTCCAGTGTAAAGTGTCTTTATCACATACAGTAGCACATTACCTGTAAGTATTCTCTGAATCTCTTTCTGAATTTTACTCTTGGTCCAGTTTTAGGAATCAATTCAGTGAGGTTGCCTGACTCCTCAAGACTTAGGAAAGTTTCCTTGTCAATGCCTTCATCTAAAATGGAAAATAAAAATAATAAAAAATCAAAGATATCAAAGATATGGTGTTATTCTTCTGCAGGTGTGTTTCATTAAACAAACAGGCTCATGTTAATATAGACCAATATCAAAATACACTATGTGCCCACCAAAGCAGAACTGCTACAGAACAATATTTTACCTTCAAATCTCTGAATCAACTCAGTGAGATCCCATTCAGTTAATTTGTCCCGGACAAAATCACATGTCTCCCTGGAATTCCACTGCATAAGTAGGAGATGGAGAGTTATTTTTGTTATTTATAGCCTATTTAATGAATCATTATCAACATCTAGGATAAACACAAACACTCAGCAGTTTATTCTTCTATGGCAGGTTCAACTTGTTTTATTTTATTTATCTTTTTTTTTCAGTGCACAGCAACAAATCTGCTTTAACTGTGGTGTTTAATTCCAATTTAAAGTAGCCAGAAACGTGAATGTATTAAGGTTAAATTGTTGTTTTTGTATGGCCAGCAATATACTGATATAATTTGCTGTCATTGCCTAATTAATGGCTATGGCAGCTGCAGGTTTGCAGAACCAATACAAAGATGATTATTGTTTTTTAAACTTCACACAGAGGTACAAAGAGGAGTCTGGAAAGAGATTCCTGCTCTGTTCATCTCTGTGCTACATGTCCTTCTTGTGTACATCTCTATGTAAGATTTAAGTCTCTAACATCTGGATAGAAGTTCTACTATGACCTTGGAAAACAAGTGTGTTTTTTTCAAATGACAATATATTATCAGAGCACATTACCTGTAGGTATTCTTTGAGTCTCTTTCTGAATTTGACTCTTGGTCCAATTTTAGGTATCAAGACATTAATTCTGCCCAACTCTCCAAGACTTAGAAAAGTCTCCTTGTCAATGCCTTCATCTGAAATAAAAAAAAAACTATAGTATAGCAATAGTATTTCATTATCAGTACAAAATGAGTCACACAAATATCAGTATATAAAAGTGCAGAGATCAGTGGCTGTACTCTAGAAGACTTTGTGTCCAAACACGGCTTATCTCTACAGTTACAAAGTAACCATCAATTATTGACATGAGCTGATTACTTAAGTACTTTACACTTCAGATCAGTTGTACACTCTGAACAAATGACACCACTTCCAGCCTTTATGCTTTTATAAGTTCTGATTTTGTTTAAATTTTGGGTTGACAACTGTATTGCAGTTTTATTATTTGCAGACTCAATATGCCCACTTAAGCAGAATGGTACAATACCTTCAAATCTCTGAATGAACTCACTGAAGCCCCATTCAGTTAATTTGTCCTGGACAAAATCAGATATCTCCATGTCAATTCACTGTTGAAATGGTAAGAAATGAAAAGTGTTTGGTAAAATATTTCAAGTACTGAACAATTAGAATCATTCTGACCTCAGAGGTGTTGGTTTCTCAATCGCTGCTGCAAAACTGGAACTTTGTTCTTCCTGTCATACATCTTGAGCCATGTAGAGATGGCAGTGTTGCTCTGTCCACAACTTTGTTTCAGGCTCAGATTTCTCAACTATTCAATGAACTGCCATGACATTGACATTTGAGCCAGACATTCAGGCCAGAGGATGAATCATTGATTTTGGGCTATTGGATGGATTGCCACTCTCAAACTGAGACACTAGCTGTTAAAGTAGGTACTGTAATCCACAGGTCGGAACAAAATATCTTTTATTCAGATATCTGTAGACTTGAACTGGTTTAGAGCAAAGTATGTTTACCATTAAAAGGGATGTGCAACAACTTGTTCAATCACTCCAGCTGCCTTCTCTGTTTTATTGCTCAGAAGAGCCACACCTTCAGAATTTCACAACACGCTGCAAAGCTTCTCTTCGGTACTAAAACTAGAGAAATCATAACCTCCAGTTTCTACCTCTGTGCAGTTATTGCCTTGCATAAAAAAGGCAACACAACGGTATCATCACAACTAGCTCTGCCATTATAAGCGATCATCATAGTATTTCTGCAGCAAAATATTTCATTCAATGAACATTTTATTTTCTAATTAAGATGTACTTACGTTTGGTTTTCCTCTTTTGAACTCAAGTTAATTGACTCCTCTGGATACCGACAAAGGCATGGATAAACAGGTTAGATGTTTTATATGAGGTTAGAAAAGGTTTTGGAACATTTAGACCAGTAAACAGCCTGCGAATGCTGAGTCTGATGGTTCCTATCGTGTGTACACAGCATTGATAACTTCCTGGTGCACAGTATTTATACTAACAATACTCTTTCATGTACACACCAAAAACAAATAGAATGCAAATCATACTTCCCGAAGATGAACTAGATGAGGTCAGCCACTTGTTAAACTTGTTAAACTTGTTAACTTGTGAGTGGCTGCCTTATATCACGCAGCAGACATTTATTTTCTTTCTCTCTGTGATCCAATCGTTTAACCTGAAGGCGAAGACCATAAGTGAGTAATTATAAACCTCAGGAGCAAAAACAAAATATTAATTCATTATTTATGGCCCAGTGTGTCCGCATGTAGTTTTCTTGCATCAGTCATCAGTGGTAAGTACATATATACCAGAACACTACTTTTAGATGTGAGCTATTTGTACTTGTACATGATGTATTAAATGTATTTTACTTGACTATTTCCATTTTAGGATAGTTGATACTTCTACTCATGTTTCAGAGGGAAACATTGTACTTATTCTATTCCACTACATTTATTTGACAACTATTTAGCTACTCTGGGCGTGATTCAGAGTAATAACTAGTCAGTCCCTCCAGAAAAACGCGATTATGCGATCTCATAATTCAATGCATAATCAGCCGAAGTCCGCATATTTATGCGGGGGGTCGCATTTTTTCAAATACTTGCATGATTTCATAATCCCCGCATTTTCGTTGCAAAAATGTTGCGTTTACCTCACACAAGAGCAGCCATTTTCCCCTGTTGCCATGGAAACGTTTTGAAGTGACGTAATTACGCGACGTGAACATCATCGAAAAGCTGCAACCCCGCGATGAAGCCATGATGAAGCCCGCAAATCAGTCTCATTTGCAAACAAAAACAAGCGACCGCGCAAAGCAGTTTCCCGGTGTGTTACATGACCGTGGGGGCAAATTCTTTTGGAGGAGATGGACGTTGAGGGAGAGGGGATGGAGGATGAGGATGGTGAATAATCATTAGTGTTAGAGGCTACGCAGTTATAGTTTTTATTTTCACAGTGGACTGTTGTAGTTTCATTCAGGAGTTGATGCCACTTTACAGTTGTAAGATTGCACTTTGTTGTTACCAGTGGGTTAAATCATACTAGTTTCAAAAACCTTACAGTTGTAAGTATATTAGTAGTATGTAAATTTACGTTACAGTAAGAGATTGCACTTTGTGCATTGGAAGCACTTATTTTAACAGATGTCTGTTTTGTATAGCTACCTCTGTAAAACAGGAAGCACACGTTTTATTTTTTTTATATTCTATTTATTAATTTTTACAGAAGTTGTAGCATATTTTGAGCCATGTGTTTATTAAGGTCTGAAATAAAACAAGATGAGAATTTAAATATTTAAATATATCACTTTCTGTGATGTATGCTTGCTTATCACAGGAAGTAATAAGAAATTACTCTTTACATTAAGGTAGTAGTCTAGTGAGAACAGGGTGTTGGGGGAAATCACTTTTTTTTCTCTTTTTCATCAAACCGCAGTTTTTGCAAGTTCCCGCAATTTGAACGCATAAAATTGCATAAATATCCCGCATATTCCATCGCATTTTTTAAGAAAACGTGCCGCATAATCAAGGATTTTTGCCCGCAACAATCACAAAAAAACTCCGCATTTTTCTGGAAGGACTGACTAGTTCTACACATAACATCTAACCACATCAGTTAAAAACGCAGAATACACCTGGAGAAAAGGGCTCTATTTTCTCGTGGGCCAGGAGGTGGATAAGCTGACATTGGCCACTTGCTAGTTGTTTTTCCCACAATCAGGATAAGGATGGGCATGGATAAACAGCTTAGATATAGTTTATATGAGGTTATTAATGATTTTGGAACATGTTGAGATTAATATACAGCCTGTGAATGCCATCTTCATCAATATATCAGATCATTATGTATCTGTAAGAAAAACTTGTTGATTGTAATAAATAAGGAATTGATTAACCTCAGGGCAAAAAAGCAGTATTTAAAAAAAACCTAATGATGCCTGTCCCTATGTTTGGCCCATCTGTGTGTGTGTCATGTTCTTGCATCAGTCAGCTGCACTTTGCTGACATAAACAAACATAATATCTGCCATTACCATTGGTCCTGAATGAATGAATAACCACACACCTCTACTGAACCATGAAGAGCAATCAGCATTTATTGGACAGTATATTATATGAAATACATTTATGTATTTAGAATCAGTGTAAATTGAAATAAAACAAGAAAATGTGCAGTAAATATTGAGAAGCCAGATAAGCTGGTTAATTATTATCATCTAGTTTATTACTATCAACAGTTTTGTCCTTTGAACAAGAAGAGAATTCTTGAAATTTTCAGATTATTCTTTGAAAATATCCAACCTACAGTATGTACTACCAAGGTAGTACACCCCTCCCCGCCCTGATCTATAATCAATTAAAGGCAAACAAAAAGTATGTCTGTATGTAATTTACAACAAGCAAACTCAAGTACAACACTCAAGAAGAACAGGGATAACACATCTCTCTAATCATCGAGCCCACAGGGAGCTTCAGTGGGCAATCAGGCCTCTGTTGTTTCTCTCCACTCGCAACCTGAAACATCCATCAGAGGTAAATGGCAAGGTTGTGATATTGAACAGCAGGGCTGTCATATAATTTATTCATTAATGTTTGAATGCTCGGTTTGGATCATCAGTTTCATTAAAACATACCTGCGCACACGTCAGGGACGCAGTGCAGCTGCTGGGCCAGGTGAATCAGCTTCTGGCCTAGCGTAATTAAAAACATGGTTAGCATTAGTGAGAGCAGCTAATAATCAGGGCAATATGTAGACAAGGTTTTCACAATAGTTTTACCAAATCAGTGACATTTCTTCATCTGGGCTTCCCTTCAGTTCATCGTAGCATTTCTTCACCTCTGCAAGCTCCACTGTAACATCTGAAAGAAAATTAATAAATAAACATACTTTTTACAACAAGTGAACTGTTTATTACACTATTTGTTGATATGTGCTGACTTATTTATTTCAATAATATATTCACATTATCATTTTAGTGATAATGTTATTTTTTACCTGGTATTGAGTCACCATCTGTTTTGAGTGACAGCTCGATTGATTTCTGCATGGTTTTCTCCAGAGTGTCCAGGACGTGCTCCTAATTCAGCATCAAAATCTGTATCACTTATCACTCGCAGAAAAATATTGTGTTCAATTAACTGAATCCTACATACATTTCCTGTTTAGATGTGTGTTCAGAGGGCTGCTCAGATTGGGCAAAAGATTTAACAGCTGCGTATTTTTTGTATGTTTCTGTCTCATATTAATAACAATAGTTTATAGTTTGTTTGTGACACTGCCTGCAGTGTTTTTAGTAGCAAAAGCAGCTTTCAGAATGATGCAAATTCCATTTGAATATAAAAAAATAGGGACCTAGAATTGTGATTAAAGAAAAAGTTGTGTAACAGAACATGTTTTACTACTACATATTATCACCATAATGATAATGTGGCCTTATAAAATGTGACAAACCTTCAAGTCTCTCAGCTGGTTCAACATTTCATTTTTAGCCTGCTGAAACATGATGTTCTTTGAATCATGTACATGCTTCTCAATAGTGTCCCTCATGTTTTTCAGCGAGTCTTGTCCTTTAAAGTCTGCTGCTTCTACAACGAAATAGAAAACAACTACATTTTAATGCACAATCACAATGTACATGTATGTAAATGTCTATAATTATAGTGTCAGGTTATTTATGATAAGATTCTCTTGCTTACTTTGGTAGCATTCTTTCATGGCTTCCGCGATTGTTGTTGTCAGACTGCTGTAGATTGTTTTTTTACGCTCCCGAGTGATTTTGGTCAGTTTTGTCTTCATTATTTCTTCCTTAGAAAAAGAAAATGAAGTATAGATCAACATATTTACAAATAAAATCACGGTTATACAAATTATGGTTCATCTTTTTAAATATATATATTTTTATTTTTAGGACCTGTGGCATTTAGTTTTTATCTGCATTGCTACCAACATTTATATTAATAGCATTATTCATATACCGTGTGTATATGTTAACAGTTCAAAATATCATTTTATTTTGTTTAATTCAGTATTTCATCTTCAGTCACAAACTTGATGTTTGGGTTAATTGCTCACCCTAAAGTCTCCCTGGACAAACAGCATGATAATGGACTAATGGATAAGATAGTAGTATTCTCATCTTTTACCTCTGTCTTGAGAAATATGAGTTGCAGTTCAACATTCCCGTGCTTTTGAATCAGCCTCTCTGTGTCAAGTGAAAAGTTATTGATGACCCCGTTGAATGGTCCATATTTTCTTTTGTTTCTGAAACATGTTAAGTTGAAATGTTTCATAAAAGACAAGTTTGTATTTTGATAATGCAATTTGTATATATGTATTATATTATATCGTTCGTTCATTACGATTCTCTATAGTTTTAAAATGGGTCAACCAAGGGTTTTATGTCTTCATTAAATCTTTTCTTACGGGAAGGTCTTCTTGAATTCTTCATCAATGCTGTCAGTCAGGTGTGAAGCTAAGTCCACATTGAGGTTTATCTGTTTCTTTATGTCTCCTTTCTTTGGTGTGTATGTGCCATTGTTCTGAACCACACACTTCAATATCCTGTGAAAACCGCGACCTGACACCTCACTCTAAAACATAAACAAAAAAAAAATCTCAGAACATTTTAGGAGACACTTAACATAATCATATGAAGGGCAAAATGTTTGGATGCAATTATAATTCAAATACATACAGGATATATGGAGCTCAAGGCTTGTTGACATGAAGGTTTTGATCGTTCAACCCCTTCACTTAGGCATTTTTCAAAAACCTTATAAGCCTCTTCCATGGGTTTTCTGACTTTTTCAAGTTCCTGCCTCATCTTGTCTTCAAGGATTGTGCACACCTCTGTTTTTTGGGCAACCTGAAATCAAACACAACATGTTCAGTAATTCAAGCAATGAAACTACTGTATACTACCACCTGATTGGGGTTTCTTTTCAACTATTCATTGTTTATTTATTTATGCAATTGTGTTGTTCTGGAGTATCCTTTATTTACTGTGGTTATGCAGCCAAATTCAGAAAATCTACCTCAATAGCAAACATTTCTTTAGGGGTGAAGACATGTAGAACCTTTCAGTATTTCATTGCCATTATATCATAGTTACTCCACATAGATTTAAGAAGTCTGTTTTTCGCTGGATTTGACTGTAGTTAACTTCAACTTACTTATTGGCTATGAATATTATCTTCTGTTAAAATAAATGACAATTAAAAACAATTAAAGATGTTACTTGGTATTACCACTTCTGTACGACGGGCCCCTTGGATCAGAGAGAGAATCCCATAAGCTCCAGACACATAGTTTAATGTCTCTGAGTGACAGTCATTGAGATCTTTCAGAAATTCCTGCAGTTTGGGTATTTCTGTAAAAATATACAGTTGACATATTTACATCACTTGCTTAAATTTAAATGTCATAATCCAATTATTCATTCTTGTTTGAATTTAAGTCATTAACTTAACTAAACCAAAACATCTATCTGATCTTTGTACTTTCTGTTATCCATTAAGTGCTCATATATAGAGACTTCACCTACCAGTGTCGTCTTGGTTTAGATCTTTTGCTTTAGAAACTCTTTGGAGCTCACTGTGAACACTTCGAAACAGTCATCACTGAAATGTTTCTGAAAAGAAAAATAATCATGTTAAGGCAAGCTTGCAGTTGTAGGCAGT